GGCCGGCAGCCTGCACCACCCGCACACGGACGCTCAGAGCCACCTTCTGTTCCCGGGCATCCACGACCAGCACGGCCCCCACGCCTCCCAAAACGTCCTCAACGGGCAGATGCGCCTGGGCTTGCCGGGGGAGGTGTTCGCCCGGTCGGATCAGTACCGCCAGGTCTCCAGCCCCAGGACTGACCCTTACTCAGCGGCTCAGCTGCACAACCAGTACGGCCCCATGAATATGAATATGGGCATGAACATGGCAGCCCACCACCACCACCACCCAGGTGCCTTTTTCCGCTACATGCGGCAGCAGTGCATCAAGCAAGAGCTCATCTGCAAGTGGATCGACCCCGAGCAGCTGAACAACCCCAAAAAAAGTTGCAATAAAACTTTCAGCACCATGCACGAATTGGTCACCCACGTCTCGGTGGAGCACGTTGGGGGACCCGAGCAGAGCAACCATGTCTGCTACTGGGAGGAGTGTCCCCGGGAAGGCAAGCCCTTCAAAGCGAAATACAAACTGGTCAATCATATCCGAGTGCACACGGGCGAGAAACCCTTCCCCTGCCCCTTCCCCGGCTGCGGAAAAGTTTTCGCCAGATCAGAAAACCTCAAAATTCACAAAAGGACGCACACAGGTAATTCGGTTTGGTTTGTTGGTTGTTTTTTTTTTTTTTTAGTTTTTTTTTTTGGCAGATTATCCCCCCTCTGCCTGTGCCTATATATGTATATATATAAACAGAGATAGAGACTCAGACAGAGATGTAAAATGATGGGAGTGATAAAATAAGGATCACGTTTAGTATCTTTTTTCCCCCTCTCCATCACACGGCTGCGTTTGTTTTGGTTTCTTCCCCACCAGCACCCCCAGCCCTTCCCAGCTTTCGAAAGGACGTTTTACAGGTTTCTTTTAATTTTGTGGGGTGAGCAATGTAGGTTCGTGCCGAGACTCGGCGGGGTCTTTCCGCAGAAACGCAAAATACAGCGTGAACTAAATTCTGCCGTCCTGCTAAAAGACGGGAAGATATACACATAAGGCGCCTTATACATTTGCAACGCGCAAGGTATTCGCATATAACTTCTGCGCTTGTGAGCGTGGCTTTCATGTATGGATACCGAGAGAGAGAAACTATATAATACATGCAAAATCTGTCATTAGTCCAAAATCCCGCTGGAAGTGGCAAAACGTCCCTTTCTGGGAATGCTTTCCATTAAATTTAAATGGTGTGAGCAAGGCAATAAAATTTTCTCATTTACAAAAAAAAAAAAAAAAAGTGTTTTTTAAGGTCTCACTCGAGGTGATTGAAAGTGCTTTTGCAAGAGTTTATTAAATTATGTAATAGGGAACAGAGGATTTGGAAACTTCCACCCAAATCAGGTGGAAGAGGGGCGAAGGAGCCCAGGCTTTCCCGATGGAAAACCGCCTGAGCCGAAGGGGAACAAAAATAAACGCATCCTCCCGCCTCATCTATTATTCATTTACTACTCCTGCCGGCTCGAACCGTGCCAGACTATTTCATAAAAGACGGCCAAATATTTTAGCGACTTCCACTCTAAATATTTACCCGGAGAAAGGCTAAAAATCTCGAGGCCTATTGTTTTCTTAAGTGCTAAGCCCGATGCGAGGTGCGAGACGAGCTTTAACAAGGTTTAAAATTTGAGAAATGTATTTGCATGAGATGCCCGCACTGAAGTCATTGTGTCTGAGCGGATGTCTTTAAGAAACAATTTAGGTGCTAATGGAATTTAATGTTAAATGCTTCCCCCCTCCAAAGGCGGGGGGATGTGGAGTTCTCACCTCCAAATTACTCCTCGGCATTTGGAGTCCTGGCAGCCGGGCGAGAGGAATCCCTATGAAAATTAAATGAAGTATTTTACAGACGTTTAGTTATCCCAGCGGATGTGCGTTTATCTCGAATAACCATACACGAAACAATCTGCCCGGCCTTAAATCTGTCGGTAATGGTTTCCACTTTAACAGGATAGCGGATTTGGTACGGAGGTGAAACGGTTCCATGCCTTTTTTCTTTTTTTTTTTTTTTT